TTACACAGCTTAAACAGAAACGATCTTCCTGATCATTCACATCTGTAAGTGTGCCCCCAAATGGAATATTTTCATGAGAAACACACAAGCAGTGGGAAAACACCCATAAGCACTTCTTAGGGAAGAAATGTAGTGGCACTTGAGAGAAATTACAGACAGAAAACCACTAGTTTCCACAGCCAGTGACCCCAAGGCCTTGCCTGGTGGTGCTGCCCATCAGGTGGGGGAGTGGATCAAAAATAATGTTTGTCGCCGGGCGGTGGTGGCGCACGCCTTTAATCCCAGCACTCGGGAGGCAGAGCCAGGCGGATTTCTGTGAGTTCGAGGCCAGCCTGGGCTACCAAGTGAGTCCCAGGAAAGGCGCAAAGCTACACAGAGAAACCCTGTCTCGAAAAACCAAAAAAAAAAAAAAAATAATGTTTGTCACTTTCTGTGTATTCCTATGGCCCTCGGCACCCACACATCCTTAACCTGTGTTGAAACTAGAATGCCATTGATTCCAGTAGGTCTGTGTCCCATCTGAAGGTAAACATGCTAACCTATCCTGGTTGTGTTCTGCCATGCAAGTGTAGTGTAGATTCAACTCTTTCTACTCAAGCATTCAATTTCAATAACCAGTTTTCTATGTTTTTTTTTTCTTTTGTTGTTGTTCTGTTTTGTTTTCTTTTGTTTTTCAAGACAAGGTTTGTCTGTGTAGCCCTGACTTTCCTGGAATTGGTTTTGTGAACTAGGCTAGCACCAAGCTCAAAAAGATCTTTCTGCCTTTGCTCCTGAGTGCTGGGATTAAAGGTGTGCTAATATCACCACTCCTGGCCCAATAACCAGTTACTTTAAGTTCACCTGATTTTCATGTTATCCTATGTTAATGAAAAAAGAAGTTTGGCTTCAGTTTGTTCAGTTGCCTGCTTTAGGCTTAACTTTGATGACATGTATGGAGGACTGGATAATGGAAGGTAGAAATTTTTGTCTCCCTCTAATATGTCTATAAATGAATTATATTTGTATTTAGCATGAATATAAGCATACCTTTGGGCACACTATGTGTTTTTCATCATTCATTAGGTGACTCATTAACTATTATGCCTTAATTACCTTTGTTCTAACAGTTTACAACAAAAATGACTTATCAGATTAGTACTTAATAAATGAAAGTACTTTATCTGTTAAAATTTTTACACTCTAAAATTACAATTGTTGAACTTAAAACCTTTTATAACCAAACAAAATTTAAATATAAATACAGTCCATGGAGGAATTGAGAACTTCAGTCTCCTGATCTCTTTATAGTGTACTTTATAAAATCTAAATCAGTCCTGCACTCGTGCATTCAATAGCTTGTATCATCGTAGAGAATACCATAATGGAGAGCTCAGTGCCAGGCATGAGCAGGTTGAAGAGGAATAGACATGGAGTTTCCAGACCCACTAACACAGCCTCAGAAAGGACGTTGGCACTGCCCATGGAGGACAGGCAGGAGGACAGAGGAACCCCACAGTGTCCAGTAGCCTTGAATCCACAGTGAGCTCAGAGAGTGGCTGACTCTCTGTTCCACAAGGAGGGTCAGGAAAGGTGACAAAGTGTAAGGTCCAGAACAACAGCAGAGAGAACACAGATGGAGTGGACGATACAGTCACTCCTTCGGCATCCACAGAAATGACATACGGTGTGGATTTAACTGAATTTTATCCCTTACTTCTTCAGTCAACATCTTTGCTCTTAGAAGGAGACCCAGGGAAGGAGCCCTGTCAGCTGTTTTACCAGAATATGGACCATCTAAAAATACCCAAACCTGCCCCATTGAAGGACAAAGTTGGGTTTTGTGTCAGGAAATACATTGAGCATTCCAGCACTTTCTAACCCTTGTTTGATTGGGTTTATAAAGCCAAACCCACAATTTCATCAAACCAGATGCAGGCCAAGGGCTTAAAAATCCAAAACTTTTAGTTCTACTGATGCAATTTGTTTCTTGTTGTAAAACAGTGTCTCTTCCAAACCTGCCCATGAGGCTGCCTGAGAACATTTTCCCAGAAGGGTTGTTTAGTTGGGGCAGCAGTTGGGTAAAACTCAGGAAAACTGTCACTGTGACAGTTCAATAATAGACTGTACACATCTGTAAAATTGCACACATTTCTGAATACCTAAGTGTGAACCCAATGTAAGAAACTAACTTCACACATGAATTTATTTCATGTTACTTACAGTCCTGTGTAGGAAAGTGACCCCTTCTGAGTTCTTTGTATTTGATGAAGATATCTTCTAAAGAATTTCTTTATCAGACACTCACAAATAAGGATTTAAAATGCATGCCCTTTGTGCATATATACTCAAAGATTAAAACTGTCTATAACTAGGAGTATGCATTTAATAGCTCACCACTAAGTATTGATAGCTTCAAAGTCCAGCTCTGAAGACTATCTTCACGGTTCAGATCAGGATGCTACAGGAAGCGAAGGAAGCCTAAGATATCTGGGGGTGAACGGATCAGCTCACACACATTTTCCTCTTAATATATCTCTTTATTGTTCTGCCATTCTGCAAAGTGTCCAGCTTATCTACCTTTACAATCAGCAATTCTTTGGCTCTAGCAGGGAACAAGGCTAGAATTTTTCAGGGACATAAAAACAGATAAGAGCTGCACAAGGCAGTAACTGTCAGGCTTATGACTCCAGTGGGGAGTGGCTAGTGGAAGCCTTGGTGAACTGTTAGTGGGGTCAAATAAGAGGGAGGGAGACCTTAAATCACATAGGGAAATCTAAGAAGGGAAGAGAGGGACTTGTGTGCTATACTATTTTCCTAAGTGTGGCTAGATAGTAAGCTAAAAGTTCTATAATCTGTAAGACATGTCAGGAGCTGTTCCTCTTCTAGCACCACTTCCTCCTCAGCTTTGGAGGAAGTAGGTAACCCATAGCAACCTGTGTAAACAGCAGGGGGAAGCCTGAGACATTTGGTCCTTGTTAGAATATTTGCCAATTGTTAGCTGGCTTTAAAGAACCTTTCAGTTCTAAAGATTACACCTTTTGACCCAAGTGGTTAGAGCAAGGAGAGGAGCTTTGCTTATTTTGTACAAAATCCAGACCCTGACACCTCCTAGCCCCTCTGGTCATTTGCTGCATAAATCCCAGTGGTGCCTGTGGGAAAATTATCTTTCTCTGGGAATGAGCAAATGGTTAATTACTTTTTCCTCTTATCTCTCTGGAAAAAACACAAGCAGTAAATCTCCTAAGCTAAAATCTTGCATCGGTAAACCAAGGTGAAAGTAAATACAAAGAGTTAAAGACATGTTTATCGTTAGTGCAAGGTTAGCCGAGCACTTCCTGTTATTGGTGGGGCAAGTTGAGATGAGGGCACTCTGCTGCTCCTCTTATCTTGAAGGCTATGGATCAACAAGCTCAGACATGCTGTCCTTGAGTCTGTCTTGTGAAGGCTTCAATTATGATCTATTTGCATAGACACTTTTTCAGTCCAACTGTCCTGCCAATAAAGATATTTGCAGGAAGACAGACTTCTAAGTTTATACTGGGGGAGGGAACAAAGATCTGGTTGTAAGAACAAAGGTTTTGACTGTGTGACTTCCCACACAATGTGGCGGGGCATCCAGTATACCAGCAAGAAATAATTATGCCCAACAAATGATTAGTACACTGCTAACATTTTGGTATAAATTCCAAAGCTGTAATAGGAGAGAAAGAGCTATAGCTTCACACAAGAAATCTACAGCAAGAGACAACCAATTTATTCAAAATGCAGTATTTCCAAATGCCTTGCATGTTTGTTTATCCTCCGTCAGAATATTTATATTTCTGGTGAGATGACCTTTTATATAACAGCTATAATCCTGTGGCCTGCAGCAACTGAGCTTTCAAAATTTTGTGGATTCAAAACGTGTTTACTTTCTTTGCCATTTGATATTCTTTGGTATTATTTTGGAGGTGAATATAAACTACAACCATTTCTTATACATTCCTATATATTTCAGTTGATGGATACAACACATTGATAAAGTAAATAAGGACAGTGTACAATTACTAAATAGGAGCTCTGCTCTTTGAATTTCTACTTCATGAGTAAACAGAAGTCTCCTGTTTTCATTCGTTGTTCATTGTCTCTCTATTTAGTGCTCAATAGCTGCTTAGTCTGGTCAGTAAATAAATCTTAGAAATAACAATTGCCCAGGCATGGTGGCCTACTCTATTAATCCCAGCAATTGGGAGGCAGAGGTAGATGGATCTCTGACTTTGAAGCCAGCCTGATGCAGATAATGTTTTCCAGGACATCAAGAGCTTCATAGAGAATGCCTGTCTTTAAAAAGCAAAAGCAAACAAAAAGGGAAATCAGTACATTTGTCATCTATTCACTGATAAATATGTTGTCTTAGCAAAATATCTTTAATGAACAGGTGAACCTAAAGTTGTTGGCTTTTTTTCTTTTATCATGACTTGGTATGTTTCAGGTATAAATATTTTGCCATCAAAATAAAACCTAAAATACTGTCCTGAATTTTCTAGCTATATTATTTACTCTTATTATGGGCCATCTTCTTGGGCAGCATATGTTTTGTGCCTTCCAACATAAAACTCTAGGTAGAGGATAAAAATTTTGTATTTTAATGGTGGCTCAAATTTACACAATCACAATTAACTTTTTCTTTTCCAGGCTTGCCTACTTTATAATTTCATGAGTGCCCTACATATAATATCTCTATTGTTTAATATGCTTATTTCTGTTAGTAAAATGTTCTTACTACTTACTTAGCTATTACATTTTGAATAATATGCCATTATGTCTGTTGTATTTGGTTGTGCCCTATTCTAGTATAAGTATAGAGTATTTCTGCCTCCAATTCTTTGTCATTTATGCTCAATGCCTATACTTTTTAAAATATACTGTAGTTTCTCATGCTTCAATATGTATAAGTAAATGCTTCCTTTTAATAAGATGAACATTCTAATTATGAAGAATATTTCCTATCTCTTGTTTATATCTCAATGTTTGCTCAACAGGAACAACACCCAATGATGATAACGTTTACAGCAAGGCCATTGATTGTAACTCCCTATATAATCAGCACCAGAGAATTCATACAAGGGAAAAATCCTACAAGTGTGAAGAATGTGGCAAATCATTTCACTATCCTTCAAAGCTGAAGCAACATCAAAGAATTCATTCTGGAGAGAAACCCTACAAGTGTGAAGAGTGTGGCAAATCATTTCACTATCCTTCAAAGATGAAGCAACATCAAAGAATTCATTCTGGAGAGAAACCCTACAAGTGTGGAGAATGTGGCAAATCATTTCACTATCCTTCAATTCTGAAGCAACATCAAAGAATTCATTCTGGAGAGAAACCCTACAAGTGTGAAGAGTGTGGCAAAGCTTTTCATGTTCCTTCAGTCCTTCGGGAACATCAACGAATTCATAGTGGAGAGAAACCCTACAAATGTGAAGAGTGTGGCAAATGTTTTTCTTCATCTTCATGCCTTAGACGACATCAAACAATTCACTCTGAAGACTCTCTCTACAAGTGTGAAGAGTGTGGCAGATGTTTTTGCTCATCTTCGTCCCTTAGACAACATCAAACATTCCATTCTGAAGACTATCCCTATAAGTGTGTAGAATGTGGCAAAAGGTTTTCCTGTTCTGCAAGCCTTCAGGAACATCAAACAGTTCACACTGGAGAGAAACCACACAAGTGTGAAGAATGTCACAAAGCGTTTCATTATCACTCATCCCTTAGGAGACACAAGAGAGTTCATACTGGAGAGAAGAACTCCTTCCAGTGTGAAGAGTGTGGCAAATGTTTTTCCTCATTTTCATACCTTAGACAACATAAAGCAATTCACTCCAAAGACAATCCCTGCAAGGGTGAAGAGGGTGGCAAAAGTTTTTCCCATTCTGCAAAGCTTCAGAAACATCGTACAACTCATAGTGCAGAGAGATCATACAAGTGTGAAGAATGTCACAAAGCCTTTCGTTATCAATCAGGCCTTGAGAACCACAAGGCAGTTCATATTCAAGAGAAACTCCACACGAGTGAACTGAGTGGAAAAGAATTAACTAAGACTGCTTTCCTCATTGAGGACAAGGCAGCTCATATTGCAGAGAAAGCCTACAAGTGTGAAGAGTGTGAAAAGTGTTTTTCCTCACCTTTAGCCCTTAGACGACATCAAACAATTCATTCTGAAAACAATCCCCACACGTGTGCAGAGTGTGGCAAAAGGTTTTTCTGCTCTGCACGCCTTCAACAACATCAGATGGTTCATACTGGAGAGAAACCATACAAGTGTGAGGAGTGTGGCAAGTGTTTTGGCTCAACTTCATATCTTAGACGACATCAAGAAATCCATGCTGACAACAATCCCAACAAGTGTGAAGTGTGTGGCAAAAGGTTTTCCTCTGTTACAAACCTTCAAGAACATCAGACAATTCATACTGGGGAGAAATCATGCAGGTGTGAAGAGTGTGGCAAATGTTTTTACTTATCTTCATCCCTTCGACGACATCAAGCAATTCATTCTAAAGATAATCCCTACATGTGTACAGAATGTGACAAAGGGTTTTCCTGTTTATCATACCTTCAAGAACATCAGAAAACTCATACTGGGGAGAAAGCATTCAAGTGTGGAGAGTGTGACAAATGTTTTTACTTTTCTTCATCTCTTCGGCGACATCAATTAATTCACTGTAAAGACAATCCTTACAAGTGTGAAGAGTGTGGCAGATGTTTTTCTTCATCTTTATCCCTTAGAGGACATCAAACAATCCATTCTGAACATAATCCTTATACATGTGTACAATGTGGCAAACGATATTCCTGTTCTAGGAGTCTACAGGAACATCAAACAATTCATACTGGAGAGAAACCATATAAGTGTGAAGAATGTGGCAAAGCCTTTCATTATCACTCATCCCTTAGGAAACACAAGAGAGTTCATACTGGAGTGAAACCCTACCAGTGTGAAGAATGTCACAAAACCTTTTGTTATGACTCATCCCTTTGGAAACACAAGGGAATTCATACTGGAGAGAAACCCTACCAGTGTGAAGAATGTCACAAAACCTTTTGTTATGACTCATCCCTTTGGAAACACAAGGGAATTCACACTGGAGAGAAACCCTACAAGTGTGAAGAATGTCACAAAGCTTTTCATTATCACTCATCCCTTGGGGAACACAAGAAAGTCCATACTGGAGAGAAACCGTACCAATGTGAAGAGTGTGACAGATGTTTTTCCTCATCTTCAGCACTTAATCGACATAAAAAAAAGAAAATTCCTTCTGAAGACAATCCCTAAAAGTGTGGAGATTGTGGCAGAGACTTTGCTAATCTTTATATCCTTATTCAACACATCATATTGTTCATATGGGAGAGAAATCCTACAAATGTCTTAAATAGTTTACTTGTTCAATCCTTAAAACACATCATATGATTCATTCTATGAATGTGAAATGTGATAAAATCTTTTGTACCAATACAGATATTTTTTATTATTAATTTTTTTTTACATTCACACCACAGTTATGCTTCCTCTTCTCCCATTCCCTCCCCCACCTCCTTTCTACCCCGCATCCACTCCTCAGAAAGGGAAAGGCCTCCCTTAGGAATCAACAAAGTATGGCATATCAAGTTGAGGCAGGACTAAGCCTCCCCCCCCCCTTCTGCATCAAGACCGAGAGAGGTAGCTCATTGTAGGGAGTAGGTTCCAAAAAGCCAGCTCACGTGCCAGGGACAGATCCTGGTCCCACAGCTAGGGGCCCCACAGACAGACCAAGCTACACAACTGTCAGCCATTTGCAGCGGGCCTACGTCGGTCCCATCCAGGCTCCCTAGCTCTGCGTCCAGAGTCCATGAGCTCCTACTAGCTCTGATCATCTGTTTCTGTGGGTTTCCCCTTCCTAATCTTGACCTCCCTCTTGGTTGTTATAATCCCTCTTCCTTCTCTTCAACTGGACTCCAGGAGCTCAGCCCAGTGCTTAGCTGTGGATCTCTGCATTTGTTTCCATCAGTTACTGGCTGAAGGTTTTCTGATGACAATTAGGGTAGTCACCCATCTGATTACAGGAGAAGACCAGATTGGGCACCCTCTCCACTATTGCTAGGAGTCTTAGCTGGGATCATCCTTAAGGATTTTCCCCATCAGGTTTTTCCCCTAGCCCCATAATGGCCCCCTGTATCAAGATCTTGTTTCTCTCCCTCTCTGTCCCTCCTCCAACTCAACCATCCTGAATACCCATGTTCCCCTCCACCATCCCCTTCCCTCTATCTTCCCACCCCCAGTATACCCAGGAGATCTCATCTATTTACTCTTCCCAGAGTGGTCCTTGCATCCGTCTTACAGTTCTTGTTACCTAGTTTCTTTAGGGCTGTGGATTGTAGCTGAATGTCCTTTGCTTTACATCGACTATTCACTTATTAGTGAGTGCATACAGTGTTTGTGTTTGTACTCACTAATAACCTGGGTTACCTCACTCAGGGTGATTTTTTTTTTTTCTAATTACATCCATATGCCTGCAAATTTTATGAGGTCGTTTTTTTTTTTTTTGTTTTGTTTTTTTTACTGTTGAGTGATACTCCATTGTATAAATGTACAACCTTTATCCTTTCTTTGGTTACGGTGCATCTAAGTTGTGTCCTTATGGGTAAAATAAAGACCTACTTAAAACAACATAAAGGCTCTTGCATTCTAAGGCCTCAGCAGCAAGGTTAGAGCAGTGGCTGCAGAGGCGCAGTCATCAGCTGAGGCAGCAGTAGTTTCAGATGCAGCTGCTGTGCCTCAGGTAAACCACAGTGCACGTAGAGCAATAATGGCAGGGAAGTTATGAGAGCAACCAGTCACTTCCTGATTGGATTTAAAGCCCATTCCACAAATTATAACTGATGTGATATTCAGTTGGTGATATACTTGTGCCTGGCTAGGTGATAAGCCCTAGGGAGAGTTTAATGCTGTTATTCTAACAAGTAGATAGTAATTAAATGAACCCAAGTCCTTTTTTTGTTTGTTTTTTGTTTTTCCGAGACAAGGTTTCTCTGTGTAGCTTTGCACCTTTCCTGGAACTCACTCTGTAGCCCAGGCTGGCCTTGAACTCACAGAGATCCACCTGGCTCTGCCTCCCAGGTGCTGGGATTAAAGGTGTGCACCGCCCACCACCCGGCCCAAGTCCTCATTTTTATACCCACAGAGTCAGGCACCTCAACACACCAGAAAGTATTAATTTTGTGGTAGATGGAGAATAATACACAAATACAAATTGGTTGGCATGTAGAGTATATTAGCCTGTGGAGGGCCTAATCAAATAGTGACATGTAAATCACACGTTGTAAGGGAGGTCCCCTACACACATGTAAAGCCAAGGTTAGGGATAAGAGGTATAAGCATTGCCAGACCCAGATATAGTAGATATCTTCGATGAAACAATAGGGATGTTGAAACATCTCTACAAGAGTGAAACATTGCGAGAAATGTCAGTAGCATTTCATGCTTGAACATACTATGGCTATTACTATGTGGAGAACACTTAACACAGGCTAACTCCCTCCCCCCCATACAATAAGCATTTATATTGTAGGGCCTCACTATGTCTCACAGAGTGGAGGAGCTCTTGGCAATTGATGGCTCCTGAAGGGAGACAGTTAATCTGAGAGTCTTCCAGGTTCCAGCCAAATGTCCTACACCCCTACAAAAAGTGGGATGAAGAAATAACAAAACGCCCACCAAGTTGAGAGAGTAAAGTGCTTTTAAGGATAAGTAATAGGTAAAGGAATGTGGAGATTTAAATAAAACATTCAATATACATACATTAAATTCTACCAAAATAAATAATTTTAAACCTTGTTGGTTTTGGATATGTCTAAACTTGACCGGTTTTAGCAATGATTAGTGCACATGAATCCGGGTGTTATAATGTTTACAGAGGGTCTGCATCCTACTGGGAAGGCATCATGAGGGATCAAGTGAGTGGACTCCCAGAAGGGCTCAGATGCTGAGGAATGAGGAGCCCTGCATCAGTTTAACCTCAGATAAGAGACGGATGGCTTTGCAGAGATGAGATCAGACTCACCTTGTATGTTCTATTTGACTTTGCCATGAGTATAATAGAGGAACAATGAATAGTGGTCTCCCCACCCTCCCTTACCTCCCTCCTACATCCATAGTGATCATAGTGATCATGGTTTTGTTTCTGGTTATCCAATTACTAAAGTTAGGAAAGGAGTGTAGCATTTAAATTACCTTGGATGAAAAGTTAAAACACAACATCCCTTCTATCATTGAGTTTTATTAAAAAGTTTGTTAGCATGTAAATGTCATATGCACATTAGAGAAAACAAATGAATAAACCTCTAGATTACTTGGCAAAGAGAGTCTATGCCTCTGGCTTTAATTTCCATCACAGTTAACAATAAAGAAAGGTTGCTGTATAGGAAAGCATTGTTTTTTTAAATGTCTAAGATGTGGTCAGCAATATAACTTGAACAAAGGTCAGGTTTGCTATGTGTATGTGACTCCATGTTTTCTTCTTAGAGTCTCTGTAGACCTAGTTATTAATTTCCTCAGAACACAAGAGGGCTATTTCCTTATGAATGGAAATGACCTTAATGAATATAAATTTCTCCCTCAAGAGAATGAATTTTTAAAGCTACAGTTTGTGGGGAAAGCTTCTCAAGGGCCCAGCTTATGTGAAAACTATGACAGACACACACTCAGGAGTAAACAGTTTACCAGAGACTCCCAAGCTCAGGAGTAAATAATATAGCAAAGGCTCACACTATCAAGAGGATATAGTATAGCAGGGACAGATACACTCAGGAGTAAATAGAATAGCAGAGACCCACACCCTCAGGAGCAAATACTATAGCAGAAACATACTCTCAGGACTAAATATAGCAGAGACTCATAATCTCAACTGGTGTTTCTCATTTCTCTCTTTAATTTTAAACCCCATTATTTTGAAAGTGAAAAAAAATCGCATGTGAAAATTAACAGGACTTGAAAACTGCAGTGTTGTGGAATATTATTTTAACTAGGCAAAGATGCATTACATTTGTTTATGCTGTGGAACATTACTTAAACTGAAAGGTGTTACATTAGTTTCTGCTGCCTTTGTTAACAGTGTAAACATGTGTTGCATTTGTTTCACCTTGCCTGCCTAAGGCACCTGATTGGTCTCATAAAAAGTAGAATGGCCAATAGCTAGGCAGGAGAGGAATAGGTGGAGCTCCCAGGCAGAGAGAATAGATGGGAACAGAAACCTAGGATGGAGGAAAAGGAGACCAGGATGAGGGAGAGAGACACACACCAGGGCCAGAAGCCAGGCAGGCTCCAGACAGTCCTAGAGACAGCAGAAAAGTAAGACAGACAAAAAGAAAAAAAGTAAAGAGCCTTGAGGCAGAACATAGATGAAGAGCTAGCGAGAAAATGAGACTGAGTTAAGGCCGAGCATTCATAACTATTAAATGTCTGTGTCTTGATTTGGGAGCTGTTTGGTGGCCCAAGAGAAAGCCTATTGCACTACACTGGTCATGAACTTCTGTACAGTTAGAACACACATCCAGAACGGAATCAGGCATTTACACTGGACTTGGCATTGTCTACACTGAATATACTTTATGCACTTATACACCATGAAAACTAAAATCCATGCCAGGGTGTTGGAGCCCATTCTGGGGTTGGTTCCTCGTGGCTTTACCCAGCAGGTCCGAATAGAGGATGATCAGGACCACGGGCCTGAGTGCAGGTGTCTGAGATGGTCTGCTCTTGGCTGTGCTGGGGGAGGAGGTCTTTTGCTCCACCCCTTGGTGTCTCTATAAAAAACCTGGGGCAGAGACAGTCAGGGCCTGTTGGAATAGGTTCCAGGCCCTCTCGAGGCTATTCTTTATTTTCTATCTGTTTATCTCTGCAAGATTCTCCGCTATAAATCCTTCTATCTAATATTTCCTGCTGCCCGCACTCAAGAAAACTCTGGGAAGCTGTGGGGTTGGTGGGTAAACGCCCCACACCAGGGTTGGAACCTGAAAATCAGTTATGTCCTCTTTCACAACCTATGTTCATTACTTGCTTTAAATCCTTACTCATCCACTAATACTTAAACCTTTATTCTCTCTTCTACTTTACCTAGTGTACTCAAATAGATATTTCTTCACATGTGTACATATATTACTGTGTATATTAAATATATGAGAGAAAACATGCAGTTTATTTCTTGAGTACCTCAACTGATATACATTAGATGTCCATCCATATGTCTGTAAGTTTTGTGATTACACTTTTTTAGAGCTAAGTAGCATCCCCTCGGTATGTGTGTAATAAGCATAATTTATATTTAACTTAATTTCCATTACTATATATATGGACACCTATATTGACTCAAGTCCCTTACTCTCGTGAGTAAAGAAGCAATCATCATGAGGCAATCTATACGAAGACATGAGGAACCCGGAGCATAAGCCCAGGGCTCAAATTGTGTGGACAGTGCAGTTACTTGAGTCCTGGTCCCAGTGGTATGAGATCACTTTGGGTGTGGGGTGCTGGGAGGTTCCAGTGGTCATTGCAGTACCCATAGTTGTAGTAGGACAGGTCCATAGGGTTGAGGAAATTGGATCATTTGCCAAGGCATGCACATAATGTACTTCCTTATGAGCCAACCTGGAGTGTGCCTGAGGGCCTAGCAACAGGCGCTGTCAGAGTTCCTGATCATAGGGAGTCTGTCTGAGGACCTACAAATAGGCACTGAGTTCCTGATTGTGGGGAGTCTGCCTGAGGGCCTAGCAACAGGCGCTGTCAGAGTTCCTGATCATAGGGAGACTGTCTGAGGACCTACAAATAGGCACTGAGTTCCTGATTGTGGGGAGTCTGCTTGAGGGCCTAGCAATAGGTGCTGTCAGAGGTCCTGATCATGCCTAACTGATGAGGGGTGGCAACACAATGTCACCAGATTGCTGTCAGTTGCTGATCGTGCCCAGCCAATGAGGGATGACCATGCAATATCACCAGATTGGGGCACAGCCTGGGTGCTGGGAGGAGGGTATATAAGGCTTCCCCCATTATTGAATAAATGAGTCTGCTGTTTGCCGTTCATCTGACTTCCAGTGTCTGTGTCACTGATGCCACGCCTTCTCACCCCCTCCCCCGAGGGACCTGTTAGGGCCCAGCAGCATCTGTCCCCTGAATGTGGGGCTTCTGTTCCTGCCACTTTCCTGTGCCCATTCTGACCATCTCCCTCCGTTCACTCTCGGTGCTGGACAGCACTCCCAGGACGGTCTTTTTCAGTCCCTTCAGCAGGTAAGCATTAGGATGGCCATTTCTTTCCTTCTTTTGTGTTGTCTGTCATATTTGTCTGCCCATCCCATTAGGCCCAATTTTTTTCTTTTTCGGTTCACCTGTCACCTCCACATAAGGACTGACCCCCAACTCCCATGCATGAGGTGGAACCAAGACTCTACTCCCAAATGCCATCCCTCATCGGGAAACACTGTGTAGGCATATGGCCGTGGCCTAAAAAACCACAGAAGTCACCTAAAGATGCTGTCATCCACAGACAGCAGGAAATAAATTTAAGAACACAACACCCACATTCCCAAGAGGTGAGGTAGGTAATTTTTGGTCATTCAATGGATTATTGATATTTGTCATTGTTTAGGGGGTTGGTTACAAGTTGTTATTGGTAATGGTCAGGAAAAAAGCTGAACAAAAGAGTTTAGATTCAGGGTTCTTGTTTTAAAAAGAATACAGGGGAATATAGAAATGACAGAATAAGCCAGGCAGTGGTGGCTCATGCCTTTAATCCCAGTACTTGGTAGGCAGAGACAGGTAGATCTCTGACAGCCTGGTCTATAGAGCATGATCCAGGACAGGCACCAAACAACACAGAGAAACCTGTCTCAAAAACAAACAAACAACAAAAAAAAAAGGGAATGATAGGATAAAAGGGTAGATTATTGAATCTATTCTGGAAAAAAAAGGAGGGGTATAGATATGATAGAATAGCAGTGGATTATTGAATATACTTTTAAACCAAAAAAGAAAATAATAGTCTTAAATATTTTACGTTAATATATGGATCATTGTATATTGATACAAAATTGAGATTATTTTTGTTAGAACATACTGTACATACATTTCTAATCTTGTTCAAAATAGTATACCTATACATCTCATTTAACAGTATAATGAAAGCTTCTAGTCCTTGATAGTTATTATCACAAACTATTTAGGGTAGGAAAGAAATGCAAGTTAGTAGTTGATCATTACAATAAAATTTGTAGTCATTAAGGTATGTTTTCAAGGTCAAACAGACATATTTTTTAGATAGGTCATCTTCAAATACTCCATAGATCTACAGAATATGCATTTAAGACATTTTAATAACATAGGTTCTTTTTTATGACAATGAGACACGTCTACTCCTGGCAGCACCAATCTACTTCAGAGAAGATAATATACATCAAAGAAACTTCATGTGGAGTTCACCTTCTTTGTGGCAATAGTCACTGAGCAAGAAAGTGCCCTTGCCTCGACTGTTGACAGTATGCTGTCAAAATGGGACAAGCAGGACACAAAAGGAAGTGACTGCTGAACTTTGCCAAGACAAGGTAGGACAGCCCTTCAGAAAATTCTGCTTCACAGATAAGTCTGTCATATATTCTAGGCCTGTAGGCCAAAGATGGATGCCCCAGCATTGCAAAGGAACCTTGGGTGACTGTCCAGGCAACCAGCTGTTTCTGTCATTTTTCACATTTTTCGGAAGTCACTTGCCCTTCCTGCCTACTCAGGTAATATTTCTTTCTCAGGTCTCTGAGGGAGTTGAAGATTAGATAATTGTAGTTACAGTTTTCCTTGTTACCAGATTCATAAAAGAAATTTACTAAGGAGGTGTAAAATGTATAAGATTGGGGGGCATTAAAAGATAATTTTGGTAATGCAAGTTAGAATAGAAAGTGAATTAGGGACAACATTTGGACAGGATAGATATGGTGTATTTTCTCTGAATTTGTCAATTGTTAATGGACTAGACATTGTTGATGTAATTATTGCTTGTATATATTGTATAGAGTTATTGCACTTATTGTATATAGTTTTTCATATATTAGTTATAACCTTTTTTAAATTTTAGATAAAAAGGGGGGTGTGATATTTTATTTGTGCTCAATAGATCAGAGTGTGGAGTTAGACACTAGAGGCCAGGCAGTGGTGGCACACACCTTTTTATCCCAGCACTTGGTATCTCATACCTTTGACCTTTGACTTGGAAGGCACAAGCCTTTAATCCCAGCACTTGGGAGGAGGAAACAGAAAGTGATATGGCTGGGTACAGAGAGGAAGTGATAAGGCGGGGTGGAGACAAGGGCTCAGCCCCTTTAGGTCTGAGGATTTGGTAGAGGTAAGAAGTCCTTCCAGTGGCTGGATGCTCTGCTTCTCTGATCTTTTAAGCTTTCACTCTGATATTTGCTCTGGGTTTTTATTATTAAGACCAATTAGAATTCGTGTTACAATTAGGTATTGGGCTGGACAAATATTTTGCAAGTTTGTCAGAGTTTTGGTGCCATCTCAAGATGAGAGATTATAGAAAGAGAAGAGGCAGCACATTCTGAGTGAGGATGAAAATGTAAAGTGGCATCAAGTGCCACTGTGAATACCCTGGGCATTAAAAGAAGTTAATGAATACATTGAGCATCCCCACACCTACTGAGTTACATTACAAATAGAAGAAGGATGACTGTCATTGATGCATTTGTGCCCCTATGTTTTTGATAGACTGGCCTCTTATGTATGAATAAGGAAATGATTGTTTTGTCCTTAGCTGAGTCAGACACTGACATGATATTATAGGGCTATCGGTCAAGATGCAGCCTTATGTATAACTATGATATATACACAAATAACCACACTGAGGAGTGTTTCACACAGACTGATATTGTAGGAAGGGGGGACAACAGTGAGGCTACTAAACGGTGTATTCATAAGTAACAGGATAAACAATGTATAAAATGCATAGAGGAATTAAGACTCAGACAAGATGTCAAGGGACAGACAGCAGGCTCATATGGAAAATTATTGTCCCATAAGCCTTAAGGCATGGTTTATGAACAGCAGAATCCTTGTAGATGTGTAAGAAGAGTATGGCTCACATGAAGTGTTAATAGATAAAAACAAGAATTATTTATTCATTTGTGAGTATTAAGACAACGCTTACATTATAGTGTAGTACTTCACCATAGGCTAGATACATATCTGATTTTGTTTTGTTTTGCCTTAGTATTTTATTTGTTCTTTGTTTTCTACTTTTTATTTACAAAGATGGTCTCTAAAAATTGCCCAGTCCAGCCCAGTCTTAGCTCTCCAATCTGTCAGGCAAAAGCCTCTGAGCAGCTAAGAGCAGATCAGACATAGTGAGGCTGGTTTCAAACATTATATTAAGATGTTTTTCATTCCCACATTGGAGTCTGGCTTCGTATTCTAAAGTAAAACTGAGTCAATGTGATTATTTTCAGGATGTAGGAAGATTAAAATCAGAACATGTGAACCATAAATGACCTATAAACTTAATACTTCTGTCAAAGGCTCCAACTCACATTCACCCATCTCCTGTTTTGGATCTCAAGGCGAACACCAGCCTCACTCCGCCGGGCTGTTCCACAGGCTCTGTTTCTGCTGACCAAACTCTACAGTGGGTTGCCAGGGAAACTCCAGAAACTGAAAAACAAAACAAAAACAAAAAACCAACATACCTGGGTTCCCGGAATTCGGTGCACAGACTTCTGGGAAATGTAGTCTATGGGACTGTGACGTCACAGGGAGACTTCCAGGAAATTCTCTTTTGGCTTTTGGTTTCCACACATGAATCTTCCCCAAAGTTGGGCGAGAGTCCTGCCTGCTGTACATTCCTGTTGCGTCTCTGACATGGAGGTTGGTCCAGGGTGCAGCGGGGTCCCCGGATCCGTCTTGAAGGGAGCGGACCTGGGTTTGGAGAGAGAGCGGAAGAAGCTGCCTTGGAGGCGCTGTGCTGAACTGGCAGGGTCACGTTAGGTTGCAGGTCAGGGCTAGGGTGAGGGCAATAGGGGCTGTGCCTTGAGTGATGGTTTCCTTAGGAAGCCACTTGACAGCAGAGTCCGCCTCGGGCTTCCGGGACAGGAGAGCTGCCTGGAGTACCACGGAGTAGATGATAGTGCAAAGTCCAGGATTGCAAACAAATGATGCTCAGCTGACTGCCTGCTCCTGAGGTGGAGCTGGGAGCTCAGTGAGCAGCTTTGGTGGGGAAGCATGCTTCTCTAGCTGCGCCGTTCTCACATGGACGCTGTCAGATTTCTCAGAATCTGTAGAGCAAACGGGGTCTGGTCCTTCCTGAACTCTGTAGCCGGCCTAGTGTAATGGTCTTGAGGTCTTGATTGTGTTCATTTTCTCCACCAGTTATAGAATTAAGAGGGGGGCAGGAGAGATGGCTCAGCGGTTCAGAGCACTGGCTGCTCTTCCAGAGGATCTGAGTTCAATTCCCAACAACCACATGCTGGCTCGTCCATCGATCTATATATATGACTATGCCAGAGGCCATGGAGACACATTGTAAGATTTGAACAGGGTCAAACACATGGAAGGAATAAACCTGAGCAGCCCAGATTTTCATCACATTGTCATTTTTGGTTATTATTTGTGCCTGCCATAGTGTCCTCCATAGTCATTATCAAATGCAGCAACATATTTTGAGTTGAAAGGTGTGTGGTTGCAAGGCCAATTCTTCCATTGATCTTTGTTTCAGGAAATGCTGTCCTTCTGGGATGTGGCCATTGATTTCTCTCCAGAAGAGTGGGAATGCCTGGAACCTGCTCTTTGGAATTTGTACAGGGATGTGATGTTGGAGAATTACAGCAACCTTGATTTCCTGGGTGAGGCTCTCATCCATAGTGAATTCTTATTTCAACATCAACATGTAGCTTCCTCGATTTGCATGGTATCTCATGGGAGCATTTCAACTGAGTTTTCATAGCCTTCGTTTTGGAAAAGTTAGGGAGGTTGGTGTATAGCTAAGAAACATTTCACTGTTTTTCTTTCCATGTGTTTGAACTCTCCAAATTAGAAGTATGTGCTCATCACTCTAGTGCGACTTTTAGAAATTCAATGGCATGAGACATGGAGCACACTTGTTAAAGTATTTCACAGTTCAGTTTTTTATCTTTTCTTTTAACTTTTATAGATTCTTTGTGTATTTCACATTATGCATCCCTCCCCACCCATCTTCCTACCCCCCTGCTTCCCCCCCCTCCCCCTGCAAACCCCCCCCCCCCCGCCACACAACAAAATAAAATTTAGAACGAAAAACAAAACAAACAAGCCAAATTTTTTAAAAAGGAGAAGAATCTTGTAGACGCTGTGGTGTGGCCCTGTGAGTCGCACAGTTCACCCCTCAGTCCATCCATCTTCACTTGCAGGCATTCCTTACCACGAGTCTTTGGTCTGGGTCCAGGCCTCTGGCCTCTGCTGTCCCGTCTAAAATGGGCTCTCACTGGGACTCCTCTTGGGTATTCTATTTTTGTCCACTGTCATGGAGTTGCAGTTTGGGTTCTTGAAGTTTGTCCCTTTCACATGCTCCCTCAGCTCATGGACGAAGTGGCTGTTGGAGTGGGCCAGCTCATAGCCCTGGTTCTGGGCCGGTCAGCTGGGCAGCTCGCCTGCTTTGTCAGCACCCAGGTGAGCTCTCCAGCACTGCCTGGGCCAGCCCACGCAATGCAGCCTGCAGCAAGGAGCAGGACCAATTCTCCCGCTCTCAGGTCCTTGGGTCAGCTCCCCCACACTCACCCCACCAGCCACCCCCCCCCCCCCCCCCCCCCCCCCCGGTCTTGTCCAGGTGAAGTGCAGGACCCTCTTTCCTGATGGCTCACAGTTCAGTTTCAATGCTTTTCCCTTTGAACGAGACTCAGAATCTGAACATTGTACATTCCTTCATATACTGTATTTCATTTCATGTGAGACAACATTTAAGGAACTGATGGTCTGCAGTCAATTATTCCATCATCTTTCCTTATAAACAGTGTACTGGGAGGGACATGTCAATTCCCAGCAGAAGAACACTTCAATAACCTTGTTCCCTTTTCCTACAAACAGGTCTTGCTGTCTCTAAGCCATACCTGGTGACATTTCTGGAACAAAGACAAGGGCCTTGGGATCTGAAGATACAAGCAGCAGCCCCTGTGCATCCAGGTGGATAGGAAAGGGGGTCAGGGACAGGGTTGAAGTCTAAAGATTCAACAGATAGGCAGGTTTTCCCTCATGTATTGAAGTAAGATATTGTCATGGAAACAATTCTTCAGGTCTCTTCTTCTTATCTTTGATTTCAAAGAGGGATATGTCTCAGAAGTTTATGATGGTTTAAGTCTCCTAAGCTTCCTATTTCCCTAATGGTGAGCTGTCCTTGTATTCACCATGACTCCTAAGACTCAGGGAAATGCCACTCTGTGAACATGAGTCATTCATTTGCTGGGCTTGAAATCAGGCTCATGCCAGAAAGATCTCTATACTGAAATGAGTATGGTTTGGTTTATGAAGCCAAACCCACAGTTTCGTCACAGAGAGTTAGACAAGAACAGAAAGCCCAAGAGGTTCAGTTCTGTTTATTAGGACAATTTGGGGTTGGGAAGTGGTTGGATAAAACTCAGATGAATTCAAGTCATCCTGTACAGTTCATTCCCCACTGATCTTAGGGAAGAGTCAAAGCATTAACTTATTTTATATGAGGATGTATTGGGCCATAAGGTACACTAATTCAACAGAGGGTCCTTTGTTTTTTCCATGAAGTTGTACAAACAGTTAATTACCAGGGCCAGATCAGTTGTAGGAAGAGAGGGATGAGAGAGCCTGCTGGGCCTTCAGGTGTTGATCTATGGGTCCTCATCACACCAGTTTTGCAACCAATGATTTTGCACCTCTCTTTCATGGCAGTTAGTGGATTGGGGCCCTTTATTAAGTTGTAAGTCTCCATTTTTTTTTTTAGGAAATATATTTATATCATATACAAAGACCAACTTTTATTTGGATATATACTCAGTCATAATTTTTTAAAGATATCAGAAATTTTCATTTATACACCTGATATTCTCAGATATATCGGAGCTAGTAAAATGTCTTTTTTCAGAGTTTGGTCACTGGTAGCTATTAGGTTCATTTCTATAAGAAGCATTTTGACTAATAGTACCATGAGTCTCGTGGGAGGAAGAAGATATTGTGGTCCCTATATCTAAAAATCTCCTGTTGAGTTCTACAAACTTCTTCTGTGTGTACAGGTCCATTGGCTTTGGGGTTTGTCATGGGAGCAAGACAGGGGAGCTGGTCCTAGATGTCTCTGGACGGTGACTCAGAATTAGTGATCTGGGTGAACTGTCACAGTCCACCTCACCTCCTCCTCAGGCCATATTGCTTTCTTTTCCTGATGTGTGGGTCCACACATGGAACAAGCAGCTTAGTTTAAATGAGTGCCATAGTTCATCCTGCTGTGCTGAGTGGACCCGTGGCAGAGCCTCTGTCATATATTATCTACCACTTTGCTGAGGACTCCTTACACAATCAGACATTGACAGCTCAGCTCTGGGATTAGCTGTGCCAGGTGTAGGTACAAGGTTCCCCTGTACATAGGATACTCAGCATCAGTTCATAGGACATTGAGTACAGAGTGATTGCAATGAGTGTGTCCATTGCTTGAGACATTTGCATGCAGAGTCTAAGACCTCCTCAGCATGAGAGAATCCACCCCCTGTCTTGTGGCACATGAGGAGTGGTTTGTCTTCCCTACAGATACTGGGTAGAATTTTCTGGTCTGGCTTACAGGCCAGAGGGAGACAGGAGCAGCAGACACTGACAAGTCCTATTCCTCATGCATCCTTATCTTGTGTTGAGACTAGAATGCCATTTATTCTGATAGGCCTGTGTCCCCTTGAGGGTAAGTGTGCTGTTTGATCCTGGGTGTGTCCTGCCATGCAAGTGTAGTGTAGATTTTTACTTTTTACTCAAGCATTCGATTTCAATAACCAGTTTTTGTAAAGTACATCTTATTTTGAATATTATTACATATTAAGCAGGCTTTAAGTTGAACTTGAATTTGTTTGAGATACCTTCCTAAGCTCAACTTTGATAACATATACGGAAGACTCTATTATGGAAGGTATGAATGTGTTTCTCCCTCTAATATTATCTTTGTAAATCAATTATATTTGTATTTAGCATGAATATAAACACAATTTTGGGCACATCAGATATATTTAATCACTCATTAGATGACTTACCCTTAACTATTATATCTTTGTTATATTTGTTGTAACAGGTTTTAATAAATTAGTACCTCTCATCAAAGTATGATTTAATAAATGAAAATAATTTATTCCTGTTAAACATTTCAACCTTGCCAGGCAGTGGTAATACACACCCTTAATCCAAGCACTTGGGAGGTAGAGGCAGGAGAATCTCTGAGTTTGAGGCCAGCCTGTTCTACAAAGTGAGTTCCAAGATAACCAGGGTTACACCATGAAAGCCTATCTCAAAAAATAAAAATAAAAAAATAAAGAAATAAGTAAGTTTGTCATCTATGCATTGACATATAGGTTGCCTCTGCATAATTTCTGTTATCCACACGTGAGCCTGAAGTATTTTATCATGATGATAACTTTCAGATAAATATTTTCTTGTCATTAAAAGAAAACATAAAATACTGTCCTGAATCCTTGAACTATATTATTCAGTCTTTTTGTACACAGTGTACTTGTGATGCAACTTATCTTTTGTACCTTTGAAACTAAAAGTCTATACTTAGTATCAAAGTTATGTTTTTCTATTTTGGTCCAAACTCACACAATCACAGTTAGCTTCCTTTGTTCCAGGCCTGGCTACTTTATAATCTCATGGATGGAAGTCCAGCCATAGAATAT